GGATTTAGCCGTTAACAGCAATCATTGTTTTAATACAGCCTATTTGTATTAGTTGGACGTTATAATAGATTTGTTGGGAAGTATGGATTGTTACGGTTTTCTCTGTTAAATATTACGGTAAACTGAAATAAAATTAGGTAATTGTAAATAAATCAGTGACGTAATACGGCCTTTCTACCAGAGGGTAGCCCCTCTACTTTAAGTATTAGTAAAATTTAAATAAAGCAGTCTATACATATAGGTACATTACATTTTGTCAACTGATAAAAAATGTAACATTTAAAAATATATGGCCATAAAAGATATAAATAAAGAGATTAAATTTTTTAATAAGATTGTCACTTGCAGCAAGCAATTCTAGTAGAATTTTTACTGGTTTTAAAAATTCAACCTAAATTAGTTTTTTTATCAATTTAAATTAGTTTCTTTATACCTACATTGAATACCTGACTAATCATCTAATATACAGCATATTTTTATAGAATGGCAAATAAGCTATAGATCCCTTGATGGTAAGTGGTTACCATAGCCTATATGTGAACAGTACCACAGACATCACATGAGACCCGTGGTATTCATGCGTTGCCTTTCCGGAAGATAAAGATGTTATGCCTATATATATATATATATATATATTATAAATTCACTGCCTGTTCTCATCCCTCATCAAGTGAAATACATCTTAAAAAGCAATAAGCTAACGAAATAAGTTAGACAGAGTCATCCATGCAGATGTATTGTTATAAAGTCTAAGAACCATAAAGATATTGGTCATGACTTATTATAGTTGTTACCTACAATAATTATTTAAGTCAGTAATCCAGATTATAATTATAAAAAATAAGTTTAATATATCTACTTAGTAAATGTGAATAATAAAACCAACATATTAATTTGATTCTTTAATTTTGTCGAAACAATATTTTCCAGTGGAAAATATAACTCTTATTACTAAAATAAACAAAACGAACTTATCATTCAAATAAATCGGTAGGACAATCTGAAATATAAACCCGCTTCGAAATATTTAACGAAATGATAGTGATTAAAATACGAGTGAAATATAAGGCAAGGATTCCTCATATTATTTAAAAAACATTAGATCATCATTTATGTGAAAACAAAAAAAAATAATCAGCTTCTAAATCAGTAAAAGACAAAACCGTACCTGTGTTATTCCAAATAAGTCTAATAATTAGAATAAAAATCTCAAAGACCATACAAAATCGTGACGATGCTATCAAATTATACCGATAAGTAAATTTTACAATTTAACATACATAACACATACACATACACACGCATTGAGGTAGGCCAAAATATGACTTCTTCGTAATATGATTAATATACAGTGCCTGATTAGCCTAGTATTATAGTTTACGTCTTACGATAATACAACAAAAAATTAATATAATAATGGATTAAGTATTATTTTACTTGACAAACTAAACGGACTTTTTTTTTTTAAACAAGTGAATTTAGGAATCTTGAAAAAAATTGCTACAGGCCCTGCGATGGCTTAAGGTATATGAAACAGTTCAAAATATGTTTCAGAACTCCACACAAACGACGTATTCGCCATACAATAAAACCTGAAGCATCGTGTAAAATGTGATTCTAGTGGAAATTCTTTCGTAAACACTAAGAATTTCTTGCGCATTAGCATTCCGAATGAGTTGTAAAAAAATACTAATCACAGCTATTTAATATAAAGTTTATTTATTTAAATAAGGATTATTTTTATTTACAACTGAGATTGTGGAATGAATTTCCTGCTTAGTGGGAATTTCTATCAAATTTATATGTATTTATTCTACCCTTTCCTCGTGTTGAAAGCGTTCAGACTACATTACATTTATTGTGCTCATACTACAGATGTTTAAATAAGATGATGCTGAAGAAATACTTTGGATTAGCGACTTTGTTAGATTAATACTAATTATGCAATCCGTATTATAAGTCATTCAGTTGAGTTTCTTGCCAGTTCTTCTCAATTGAATCTGTTTACTGAACTGGACGGCAGAAAAACTATTAATACAAAAAAAAATATCAAAGTAAATATCGTAAACGGCTAAAATGTCCTACATGAATAAATTATTTTTGATTTGTGGTATGAATTCGTTAGGACTTTATTTTTTTAATGTAGCTGGCATGGGAAACATATTAATGGCCCACCTAATGTAAAGTACTATATAAGTACCATACATTGTAACGTGAATATTGTTTATGATTTTGGAGATTTCTATTGAAGTTATTACAGAGTTACAGGCAAAGATACATCACTCGTACTTTCATTTATAGTACTTATCCTAAATAACAAATTTAATTATAAAAACCTTAACAATATTTTTTAACAAATTTATTTTGATCTTTAGTCTTTTAAGCTTTTTAATATTTTATACTGGTAAATATTACCATAGAAATTTTAATTTCAATGTTCGTTCAAGAATAAATCAATCTAAACACGTCTCGTCTAAATAGAAAGAAATACTTATTTAAAACTCCTAAAAAAATAAATCCTTTTTTTGTAGGCTACGCATTTTTTTTTGTGACCCGAAATCAGATCTCGGCGGCCGTTTTATTCCTGCATACATCTGAGATTCGAACCCCTAAAGGTTCCTTCAAATTAAACTAGTATCCGTCACGCAGGAGTTTGCCTGCAGTGGCCCCATAAGTCCTTCCGGGGTTGGAATGTCAGCTGTCAATTGGAATGCCAATAGCATTAGAATAGTTCGAAAAAATTGCTGGAAACGCAGCAATAATAAAAGACCAGTCTTCATTCATTCATTCATAATTTAAGAATCGCGTTCATATCGGCGGAACTCTTGCCATTTTTTCCATCTCTTTAGTTGTTGATACGTCCCAACTCCTACTAAATGAGAAGCATTTCTTATTTTATTTTTCCAACTAATTCTTTCCCCCCTCCCACCCACACATAGCTGTTTCAATTCAGTTCAATTATCGCTACTAACAAAAAAAAATAATACTGGATGTGGGGTTGTATGACCATGAGAAAAAGTATGAACCATAAGTGTACACATACAAACATTTTACGTGGACCACGCAACATTCTAAATAAACATTATTATTAATCCCTACCAAAAAAGACTAATCCATTAGTTTTTTAAGCCATTCGGTGGTTCATGCATTTAAAATAAAAAACTAATCACGACTACATTACAAAAGTACATAGGATGCTACTATCAGACTGACTAGACTATCTAAGGAATGTTTGACAAAAATGATATTTATGACAATGGATAAAACCTGATTATATAGGCTGATACAAAATTAGTAAAAGTAGTAAAGTATTGTCGAAATTCAATCATTATCGTGACCACAATAATAGATATACATATAGTAACAGAAATAGAATATCGAATTTCGAGTCCCTAATGTCTTTAATATTCTTACACACGAAAATATCCTATATAGTCTGTGAAGGTACATATATGCTCTGAGTTACTCATTCTCATTAAATCCATGAATTATTTTACGGATAAAATGAATACGTATGTCTTGAAATATCGAAATATTAAATAAAAATAACAGTTATTCTTATTATACCGTCATAAAGTCTAACTAAAAGGGCCTAATACTTTGAGATGTACAATATGAAATAATGTAATAATTAATTTAAAAAAATGTCATTGTAGATTCTTATTTTTAGTCTAATACGGTAATCAACAATGCAATGAATAGAACATTAATTGGTTCGACAATTGAAATATAAGTCAAGAAATGAATATAAAAAATGTGAATACTTATTCGCATAGTCAATACAATTTACGTTAATAAATTCCATATTACTTAATTAACAAACAATTACAATAATGACATATATACCTATAAAAAAAGTAAGAACTTGTGGGCGCTATAAATTATTTTAGTTAAACTTTACTTAGCAAACTGTATTGTACTGTATTTAGCAAACAGTGAAATAATCACATATCGGCGTTTCACAGCAATAGTTACAGAGTTTCTATTTACTTTTCTTGGAACTTTATAATATTAGTATAAATATAAATGAATCAAATCAATGGCACCTTTAAAAAATACTGTATGTTAACAATATGTAAACACTTATGTAAACAATATGTATCAATATGTATACAGTATGTAGTAACTTGCCACACCAACAATACATTCGTAATGAGTAAAAATGTTTGGAGTTGTTCTTAATGCAATGTGACATGCAGTACAGAAGTGTTTACATATTAATCGTGACTGCCTACCATGCCTATGCAATTCATAAGTTCGTATACAAGAATAATGTTTTATTTGAATCATTAATTTAATTTTTTTTTAATAGATACTGATTCTGAAGGAAGCTTTATATGTATAATACATGTACAAAGCCAGGGAGAGTATCTAATCAGATATAAATGAAATTAATTTTAAACTAGTCAATTATGACTGTTTTATATATGATTAAAAAATGTTTGTCTAAGAGAAACTGATCTCTTAGACAAACATTTTTCTCGAAGTGATTTTGTAATATAAGTTGGATTTAGCGACTAAGCGAGCATAATTTTCCTCACAATTATTTGTTTTACAATTATCCGTATTCCTTTTCTTTAAAGTTATTTTCCTAATTTCCGGGTAAGACTCTATAGTTTTTCAATTCTGTTTGTGAAGGATTTCAACTAAATCAGTATGGACATGCGTTATTAGGATAAGCGCTTATGTTCTATTAGTAATCAAATTTACGTTTAAGATACCCATGAAATATAATAGAGCACTGAGCTCACAGTGGTATTAAACAAAACATATTGCGGTACACACAGTGGCGTAGCTACCTAAGGGCTAGGCGGGGCAGTGCTCCAGGGCCCTCAAGGTCGGGGGGCCCTCGAACCCTTACCAGAAAATCTCGATCGAACTTTAACCCGACTTTAATCATAGCTACTCAGTTGTGAGAAATTCGAAAGGTATACCATCGGAATTTCCCTAAATTATTCCTGTGGGCTGGCAGTGTTCTTAATTTGACGGATAGTGATATGTGCGTTTTAATAAAATTGTAATTTAGGGCCCTACTGCTCAGCAGCGGCCCTTAGTTACCACACTACGTCACTGAGTACACATATTAACATAGGCCATGCAATAACATACTGCATGTACTTATGCCGATAAGTTTTAAATTATATACTGATATATTACAGTACCATTGCATTTACAAAGTACAATGTATAGCACCAAATCTATACTTAAATCTTATACACTTTTATTAAACAAACTGAGGTAGAACTTACACTATCTACACTTACATGAGATTAATAATATCACTGAAAAAGTATAAAAATAGATCAAATACTTTGAGCTGTCTTAACAGATTTCTTTAACAAAATCTTATAGATATATCTATATATACTTTACCTATAGATATAAACTGACATAAACACGTATTAAAGATATAAAATATAATTAAAAAAAAAAACAAAATTACCTTTATAGTTCTGATATTTAAAAAAAGAAGACTCAATAGCAAGATTTTAATTAAATCAAATACGAGAGTACTGTGTTTATGCCAGTTTTACATAAAATATAACGATTATATTACAGGAAGAATAACTTATCTGCTAACGCTTCTGACGGCTGTTGGTGTATACTCTGTCCGACCAGGTATGCCAGTTTGTGGGCATACTGGCAGGGCGCTGGCACGCGGACCGTGCCCGGCCAATTGTAATACAAATGGCACATTTTGTATGTCAGCCTTTGACACTGGTCAGGAGACATACCGCTGTTGTCGTGGATGACCACATAGTGAGTCGGTGTTACGGTTCCTTGGTTCACCTTTTGCGATACGATTAAAAAGTCGTACCTGAAATGTAAGACATATTATAAATAATAAATAATATAAAGTTGTTACATTTGTTGTCTACTAAATTGGAATGGCAAAAAATGGCCCACTTACTTCCAGTAAGTGGTCATTGTCGCCTATAGAACAATACTACTGAGTCACGTCATTATAGTTTACTATTTGTCAATGCTGTATTTTCACTACATTCAATCGAAATACAGCTTAAATTACAAGCAGCTTGGCGGCTGACATAAACTGGGGACGCAGATATGTTTTTAAAGTATTTTTATCTACTCTAAATATAATAATACCTTACATAAATATATATTGCTTGTATGGTCACGGGACTGACGAGCGTAATACACCACACCATGGTAGAGGCGATACACCAGCCAGGAGTCGAGTTATAACACGACTTTCAAGGCTTTCCGGGTCTCCACCAATATGTTGCCCAACGTCATGAAGGTAGGTCTAGGAATTCCCCACCAACATAAGAATGTAAGTGGTCAGTATGTTGTTGGGGGCCACAAATGCCACGAACTCACGCTGTGACTCGACTCCAGCTGCATCCCCTCAATGTCAGATTACTCTTGGACCGTATATACTCGACAATGTCCTGCTTTTTGGTGGCGCAGTGTAGGAGATGCCAGGTACATTACCGTGATCGGTGTAGCACTATGCAACATAAAGTTCGGCCCAGAGGGTACAGTGCCACAATCGTTCCGATTGGTCCTCTTTGTGTGCTTCTTCTGTACCATGACGAAGCGTTAGCATACGTAGGAGCCATGTTCGGTGTCATCTTTGGTACATGCCTTTATACCACTATGGTGTTCGAGTATACAGGCGACAGTTCGCAATCTCTAACATATTCGCCGTCAGGTGCCCTACCAGTAATTTAATTTAAAAATAGAGCCACCATATAAAATCCGCATAATATTATTAGACTTACCAGTCCCGTCTGGTTATAGAATGGTCAACAACTGTTCCTGGATGCGGGTTTTCAAACCCACTACCAGCCTTCATGAAGATTCTGGTATTAATGCGTTTCTGCACAACCACATAGGTGAGTGTAGGTTTATAGGTCACGTCCATGTTAGTGAAGCAAATTTCCATCTGTGGTATCTCGTATTGTTTAATCTGCTTCAGCTGTCCATCACCGACACCATCTCTATTAAAATGATTATTTTTTTAACATTAAATTATATATAAATTATAACCAACAAGCTAACCATACAGATTTTCTGTCTTAACTATGTATAATCAATTCGCATTGGTAAATATACTGTTTTAAATTTGTCACGGCCATTTTTTATCGAGTCATTTTTAAGTTGTCTCGTTACAACAAAAAATATATAAGTTGGGACTAGATGGAGCTGTGTTAATTGTCCAGGGTTATTTATTTATTGTATATATGTTGAGGTACAAAGTGCCATAAATTTCACTCCTTGTTAAAAGAACGTTAGATAAAAATAGACATAGACATATCAAAGCTTTGAACTTCCTTTTGTGCTATGCCATCGCAATTGTCAATTAATCATTGTGTAATTATTGTTTTTACTAAAATATTTTTAATGTAACTTAGTCTCTACCTGTATATTATAATGCGGTCAGGGAACTTCCCATTACTCCTCAGGTAATGCTTCAGAGCGTCGACCAAGCAGGATTTCAGACTATCCACTATTTCCTGACCGCTCTCTTGAAATACCGCTTTAGAGTACCAATGTGTCATCGATTGATTGTAAGACGCTACAAAGGCTGGAAATAATAATAACTATTTATTATGCATAAAAAAGAACAATAAGTACAGTACAACAAAAATAATCTACAAAACGCCGTCATATCTTACTGACAATCTGGTATTACATCTGGTATTTACATACAGATAGTATGTAGGAGACGCACTATATTCTGTTTTTTAATCCCGGAAAACAATTTTACATATCCGATGTTGCCAGGTTTGTGCATTTTTTAAATATGTTGTGGCACTATCAGAAATTAATATTAATTACTCATTTTTATGTTATTCAGTAATAATGTGTAGGTGTTTATTTAAAACGCATTAACACAAAATTAATAATGTTTATGTCTTAATAAATATATTGTTTTTGTATCAAAATATATTTCTTATTTTTCACTAAAATAAAGACTAAATGACTTTTTTATATAACAAATGACCTTTTCATAGTGTCATATATCATAAAACAAACACCTATTTGAAATATTTATTTGTTTAAAGGAAAAAAATGTTGGTTTGTAGGTTAATACTGTAAAAATTACTATATGTAAGGAAACGACAAAAATGTATTTTTATGCTGTATAATACGACGACAGTTATGGAAACACTAGTATATCTACGTAAATTTTAAAATTATGTTCTGGAAACGTACTTTAAAGCTACTAAAATAAAACTAATAAGTTAAAAAAAAAGTTGCCGATGAAACAAATCGGTATCGAGGTACACCACTACCCCGACTATAGACATTATATTTATTATACACTTATATATAAACATACATTTTATAAGGATAAACAAATAAATTTACACACTAATACATAGAACACATAATGGACGAGAACAAGAGGAAATTTAGATATAATTCTATTACAGGTAGCGATAATGAGACTCAAAATTTACTGTAAATTTTGAGTAATGGATTGTTTTGTACCAATGGAAAATGGCAAGGAGTTCCAGAGATCAAAAGGCATGTACAGTATAATATTTAGAAGAATAAAGTGGTAAAACTATGTTAGGATATATTTCCGATTTTTAAAGGTAGGAGTTGTATAATAATAGATATATTTTTAGGTAATAGCTGGATTGATACTGAAATTACATGGATCGGAAGAGCATCTCATAATAATGTGAGATCCTTGGCGTTCTTCAGGTCAATAAGCGACTATAGTCACATACCACCGGGTGGTGTCGTTGTCACCTTGTTTTCCATTTCAGATCCATAAAAAAAACTAAATAAAATACTAGTGATCATAAATTCATATTTAACGAATTATTGACCGCTGAGGTCTAAAGATTCGGCAAAATGACTTCCGATGGTCGCGGTATGGATTTTATATGTCTTGGTGTGTATGTATTAAAAAAATAACTTGTATTTACATCAGTTGTCTAGTACCCAAAACATAAGCTCTGCTTAACTTGGGACTAGATGGCGCTGTGTGTACAATCATGTAAATATTACATACATATGTATGGTAATAAGATATGATACTTACAACATACACTACGCTTCTTTCTACTAGCGTCGTGATAAGAGTCAATGCCGATAATCATTGCAGTCTTGTAAGGAATAGCGATATTCCATAGTGTGCCTCCGAGCTTGCAGTTGATCTGAAGAAGGATCTTTTGCGTAATTGAACGCACTTTCTGTTGGTTCATTATGGTACGCGCATTTATCACCTGTGAACGTAACAATTTTATTGCGTACAGCTACCTTTCTGTGACAATAGCTACTAATTGGGACAAATTATTTTATATTGTAGTCATTTTAATAAATTTTTAAGTACATAATTGAGTGCAAAGACATAAACATTTAAAGTATTCAGATATATTGTGAAAGATTTTTTTTTAAATGGAATAATACTCTCAAATCATTATGTAAATGGTCTGCCCGGATTCGTCTAGGTGCTCATAACTCTCTCATAAAAAATAAAATATTTTGTTTAGGGGATTGTTAGTAATGTGGACAAAGGAACTAATTGCTAGTAATAGCACATTACTAGCAATTGGTCAGGTCAACATTGCGTCAGTTGATCTCCACAAGGATCCCCCTGGTCCCCTGGATTCTATCGTCATAAATTACTGGTGAATTAGAAAGCGTAAACTGTTAGCGCAGGCGGCTCTATCATATCATTATCATCAATAAAAAAATACCTAAATAATCAACTTTATATAAACTTGTTCAGCCTGATATATCACCGCACAAATTTATTCAATAATTTTAGTGTTGATATTAAATTTCTTACCTGAGACGGTATAGGGTTGTCAGCGCAGCAAATCTTCTTTATAGCCGCGTAACGGTCGTCTCTCGAAGTGGGGCAAATTGCCACTATCAACTGTAGATGGCCTGAAATTGTTTTCTTCAATGCTGCAACGTATGTATCTGTACGGTCGTTCGGCAGACGTACCATGTCTGGATTGTGAACGGTGATGCCCATGGGACGGCAGGAGCGTTTCAGTACCTCGACGAAATCCTAAATACATATTAAATACTATCAAACTAAATATATTTACACCTAGTCATTTATGAAGTGAACAGAGTTTCTTTCACCCTGTTTCCCTCTCTTTTTTATACGTTCCTCTCTCTCTCTCTCTATGTACGTATACGCACGTAAGCGTAACGAGTACTTACCGCGGTGACTTGTTTGTCCCGTTCAGTAAACAATAACGCCCATTTGATAATATCTACGGCTTGCATCACAGCGTTTTTCGTCACCTCTCCATTCCAGTCGGCATTCGGCTTTCCAGGTATTTTAACATTGTTACCAAAGTATAAAGTTTCCGGTGGTAGTGTTCTGGCAGTAATGTTAATTGTCTCTTTAGCGATGCTCAAACCCCACCCAGCTAATCTTTTCTTAGCCGTTTCATTGTCGAGCACATTTTGAATGTACTGAAAAAAAATAGCATAACTTTAATAAGTAAGTCACTAAACTTATCTTGGAAGAAATAATGGACACTAGTGATGTCACACAACATTCTCGTTTGTGTGTATAAAGAAGAAAAAGCATGTAGCAGGCATAGGTTTTATTCTATTATAATTAATACTCTCTTCAAGGAACCAGTTTCAGTCAAATAGAAAATACATGCAGTAGAAAGTGAATAAAACGACACTGCTATATTAAAACAGTTATTATAAGTATACATGTATACGAGTACAACACATTACATAGTTCTGCATTATTTGCTGTTTACTATAATTTTTATTAACTAGTCATTGTGTTGGATTACAATCCAGTTTTGTACCAATTACACGCTTCTAAATAAACGCTTATGCTGATGGTAATCAGCTTCATGTGTTAATTAATAAATACAAAGCTATTTTGGTGTATTAATGAAACCATCGTAACCGTCGTCGTCGTATGCGGCTAATATTGTATCTTTAATTGCAGGATTAATTAATAATATTATATTTATGCATCATATCAATAAATATTACTAAATTTATTATAAAAATACCTTTTTAAATGCAGCATGTCTCTGATTTGGTGTTATCCTAGTGTAAGTAGCTACATCCTTCATTAGCCTGAAATTGCTACGTTGATCGTCAGTCAGACCAGTCAACTGGCACAATTCAGGAACAAGACAGATCATGAAGTCTGTTGGAGTTTCTGAACCTGGCATCCGTTTTGTGTCCCTGAAAATTTATTAATATTAAAAATATGATATCAGAAGTGCAGAAAATGCACAACAATTGTTATTTCATTGTGACAATTGTTGTGCATATCATGGATGGCATGATAACCAAAGTTGGATATGGACTGTCACATAATTAACTTGGAGCAATTATTTTAAATTTTATATTTGGTATTAATAGACTGTCGAGTTAAAAAAACTGTTTATTCCAGGTAACTCGAGTTAGCTGAATTTCAATTCGAGTTATGTTTATTACGAGTTAGCACATCTCTAAGATACGTAGAAACGCGCAATAGTTCGCTATCATATAATGACGATTGGTTTCAAAAACGTTTGCAGTATGTTCGCCAAACCTGATGGTATTTCAATGATTTATATTGTAATCAAAAAATAATTTACTACCATATTAGTTCTAAAACCATATATATTAGCTTAAAATTACCTGGAAATAAGCATTGGCTGATCCCAATCTTGGATATCAATACCATAGTTATTTTTATAGTAATCAATGTAAGAGATTTCGACCATTTCTCCTTTCTCTTTCTTTTGGAATGTTGACTTCGGCGTCATTGAATCGTTGATACTGTCTACTCTGTAAATAGAAGTATGTATCAGATCACGGGAACTAATAATTTAACATTAAAAAGACAAGAGGTATAGGTAGACCGAGAATCAGCTACATTTTTTGTTAAAGTCATATATATGGCAACATCGCGTATTTTTGCCACAAATTCTTCACTACTGAATACAATTCTTTCTCATGTCGAAGGGGATTGTCAGTATGTGGATTAATTACCCCATTGCTAGCAATATACCATGACAGAATGACCTCCACGCGGTTCACCCTGGAAGCATGAATGCCCCGCCAAGCATGAACCGTTAGCGCAGACGAGTGTATCATATATATATATATATATATATATATATATATATATATATATATGCGTATGTATATATATACATACGAATACCAAACCAATTAGCAAATAAGTAAACCGTACATATATACTAGTTAATTAACTTACCTAAACAGTTTCTTATTATATGAAGTCATGACAGAACAACCAATCAGCCGTTCTGATAAGGCTTTCTTCCAGTTCGCCCCTTCTTGTTGGACTGTCTCTTTGATAAACGATAATACAGACTGCGTACGGAGAACGCGATGCGTCGAGTCTAATGTTAACATCAGACCGCCTTCATATTCGTCAACTGCAGTTACGTATCTAATCAGAGGTGGAATATAAACATATTTGTAAAAATATAATGGGATAAATTCTTCTACGTTATCTATTTTTATGAAATGACACACGGACATCGGACTAAAAATGTCTTTATAGAACTTTCTTCAATGAAGGGATCAAGATACAACTCATGAGCTTGTATATGCACTAGTTTTTAAATGTAGGAATGGGATGGATAACATGTGACCCGTGGGCTTTTTTCTACTCTCTCCCATCATATTGTTAAATAAAATGGTAATACATACTAAACCGAAACAATTTTTTCTGACAAGTTACTGAGTCACTTGTCGGCGACTTGTTCACACATGCAATACAAACACGCCGTGTCTACGCGAGTGTTATTTTACATGTAAATTATTTATAAATGCTACTCTTTGTGTGTGGGCCACCAAAAAACGTAATTAATTTTTTTTTGCACAAACTTTTGTGTATTGTAGTACACATTTATTCGCAGACTATTTTTATATAAATTCATATAAAAATAGTCTAAGTCTAATATACTAGAAAATATGACAAATCGTTATTGTTGTTGCTTAATACTACATAGATTTATAATTACCCTGGCCAAACTTCCAATTTGTACTGTGGAATTTGAATAGCGGCGTGTTCATTGAAATGTTGCCTGCCAAATCTCACCAGTTGCAAGTCTTTCATTATCTGTTTGAACAGCACATTGTATAGATGTATCATCTCACTCAAGCGACGAGTTCTTCTGAATGTTATCTGTAAACATATATAACAATCATTAGTGTATCATATTAACAAGCTTCACACATACCAGAGAGAATATACTCAGCATATTACAATTGAACGATTGAAACATTCAATAAAATTTTGTATTGAATATTTCGATTTGTTTCACTTCGTTTTACATCAATGATATCAAATAATGTATATCAAAATATATATCTATATATATATATATCATATAACAATTATAATATAATATCAAAAAGTATATGGGAATATCAATTTTCATCCTTTTGACGCACAGTGTGTATTTTATTAACAAAGAATGTCCATTTTCATCTAAATGTCCAATTTTAGTTTACAATAATGAATGTACTTACAATTATTTGTACTTTACTATTATCATATGGATTTGTGGATACTAAATTTGTTGCCTCATCGGGTAACTTGTGTGGCACATACAGTGTAGTACCATCGAATGTCTTCTCCTTAAAATAATGATTGTGTTCTGAAATTTATACAATATAAACATTATTAGATTGAAGAATGTATAACAAAGGGAATCATCATATTACAAGCATTTATTTTCTAACAAACTATTCATATTAAAATAGCATAGTATCCAATATATTTATTAATAAATGTATGGATGTTCAGAAATAATAATATTAATTAATTCAATAAAATATTAATTTACGATTACTAACAGACAGGAATAATTGTGATGATAATCAACTTCAGTAATTTTTGTAGTTTTCTTAGTGCTGTGTGTGCTCTTAATCTCCTCTTGTACCTTTGGTAAAAAAACAGACATTTTATACTTACTCTGTCAAGGCATAATGCGAAATAAACACTTACCATTGAGTAACTTGAAGCGCAGATGTTTGTAATCCTGATTTGGTTCATATTGGACTTCATACTCAAAAACATTGTTTTCCTCAAAATTCAAATATATGAAATTGGCTGTACATTCCAACGGTGCACCTGAGTCTCCTTTCATTACTACTGGAGGTGTGTCTTTTACTTCTCTCTGTAATTAATTTATAAAAGACTAACAAGAAAAAAAAAATCTAAAATTCTAACCGAGGCCAACATTTTATTGCATATTTGGGCAAATACATATTAATTTTAAAGTAATAATAATAATAATAATAATAATCTCAGGACAATTCTCACAGCGACATCTAGACCCAAGTTAAGCTTACTAAAGCTTGTGTTATGGGTACTAGATAATTGATACAAATACATAGATAATTTTTTTTTTCGTAAATACGTACATATTATACATAGAAAACACCCAGACCGATACAATCATATTCATGAATACAAATGTTAGTGCCGTGCGAAGAATCGAACCCGCGACCTTCGGACGTAAAGCGGTGTGCTAGACCGCTAGACCACCGAGGTCGTCGGAGTGACATATAAGTTATCTTGCGTATTGATCAATATTAAGGGGGTCTTCCTATGTGATGGGTTGAAAAAATCGATTTTTTTTTTTTAATAAATTGCTCCCTTAACATGTCAAGAATACGGTAGTAAAGCGATTTTAGAAAATTCGAAGTCGTTTTAAAGATACAGCAGGTAAAAGAAAGAGCGGTTCGGAGCGGTGAGTTGGCAGTTAGAGACCGGGCCTATTGTGTACCGTCGGCTTTATACCTGGCCTCCCTTTTATTAATATATTTGTTTATACAAGTTTAGACACGTTTCTACAGACTTAAACAGAAAAGGAAACAGCAGGTAAACTTACTGATAAAGTTATCCAAGAAATTACAAAATTCTACGGATTAGCAATTCGACGCCATCCAGATTCGCTTGAAGATATGAGAAAGGAAGTTTGGGCAACGTACTATCACAAATGTTCTTCTGATGAAAACCCTCAGCATCAATTTTGTCCAGAAGGCGAAGACAGTTGGTGTAAATGGCGTAAGGCTGAAGCTAATAATGAACTGGACCAATTTCATCACGATAAACCACCTCTAATTCCGCAAGTCCAAGAAGCTATCAAACCGGTTTTCGAAGATTTATCGAAAGACGAATTATTAATTCGTTGTTTAGGAGCAGAGACACAAAACAATAACGAATCTTTGAATTCTTTGATTTGGACTTTCGCTCCTAAACATCTTCATTCTGGTCCCAAAGTTGTTGAAATTGCTAGCTACTTAGCAGTTATTATCTTTAATGAAGGTTTTCAAGGTATTTTAAAAGTTATGTCGATTATGGGATGCCCTGTTGGTCGTGAAGCCCAAGCGTATGTTGAGAAACGGGATGAAAAGCGAATCTTACGCTCTGAGCGGCGCGTAAGTGATGTCCTTAAACAAGGCAGGATTGACTCAAGAGCTGAACAATCTGCTTTAAAAGAGTTTCACGAGGAAGAGGAAGGAATACTCTATGGACCAGGCATCGCCGATTGAGAGTAAGTTGATATTTTAATAGTTTTTAACGGACTTGAAACTTTAAACGCGTTTTTCTCAAAACTGTGTTTTTCAAACTTTCCTCCATTGTATCTCAGAAACGGCTGGACCGAATTACTTGAAATTTACAGGGCACACTCAATATATGTAAACGCATGGAATGAACTATTATCAATCGAAAATTTTCAAAACTTCGATTTTTTTAGCAAAAAACAAAAAAAAAAAACGCCTAATTTGCAACTTTTATTTCAAATGTCTATCAAAAATCCAATTTTTTTTATATTCATTTGATTATAGGTCATTCCGTGCTTTTAAGCCTACAAATTAAAACGCCGTTTTTTTTTTTTTTTGACTTTACAGATAAGCCGATCAGCCGGAATCGTGGAGGAAGTGGGAGCTCTTTTTGTCGAGGCGGGGGTGTTCAGAGCGCTGTAACTCTAGTTTGACTGAATATTTTTAGCTGAAATTTTATATTTATACTGTCCAAATATGTGTTAATAAATGATAAAAAACTTGAAGCTCTAAATATTTACTGGTCGTAGAAAAAAAATCCTAAAATATCCCTAAAAAACAGGCCGTCACATAGGAAGACCCCCTTAATTTCAAATAGTAGTGCTATGATTATTATCACATGATAGTTGGTACATACCAATCTACAAAAATTCGCGTCTAATTCACACAACACACACACATTATAAGTGAATAAGGTATATTATTACTTACGAAATATTTATTCTTAGCAACAAATGATGACTGTGCTGTGGATGAGATTGTACTTTCTGCCATGCTTGTGGTAACTTGTTCAACACTACTATGAGCCTTACCCGCCAATTTTGAAGCTTGTCTAAAAACATAAGTGTCAGTTATCAGATCCTTTATCAGTGTAGTGTCAGTTATCTTCATTTCAACTACCACCCTTATGTGTGAATTACTTGGCTATCATCGATTTAAAAAAAGAAATTGTATATTATTTCTACTTATAAAAATACTAGAAACTAAAATAAAAAAAAATAACAATCCTTATATTTCGATTTTACTACCTATCATATTATAACTGCAATAGTACACAATTTACATGATGACATATTTTATCCTAATACACACTAATCATTTATTTATTGTTTTACAAGTGTTAATATCATACATAAATACAACTGACATATGTTTTCAGTCATAAGTATCATCTTTTATATTATCTTTTACATATTCAAAAATTCCATGCTTGACTTGAATGAGAAACTTAAAAATAATACAAGAACAGAAATGAAAAACTAGCATTTTTTATTTACCTAATGGTAGATTTACATTTTTAATCTGTTCCCAAGAGTTTTTAATAGGATGAAATTTCTTTATCTTGCTCACTCATTGTTTTGGTTTCATTTACTAGGTACTTAACTACATAGCTACAGTTGCATGCAGCGTAAGGATCCATTGTGAGTGTCAAATTGTATCATATAACATAATATATGTCAGTAGTATAAAAGAAGTAATGACATTTTGTTTGCATTTTGCCTCAATTTATTAAAATATGGATAACTAAATATTTATTTTTCACTAACATTATAAATAGTGAATTTTATCATTGCAGATAAGTAGATGGTAAGAATTCCAGACCTAGTCTATTTGAAAATTCTTTGATCATTCAACAGATGTGAAATCAGTAGAGACTAGTAAAATGTTATAAAGAAACTTACAGAGTCTGTAATAGCTTCAGGCCCCGGCCAGCACCGATTGTCTGTGCACTAGGGCTAACATCAGTAGCAGGAACGAAGGGAATATCTAAAAGTAATAAATACATTTATGAAATTACCAGATAAGTGGAATTACAAGACATATATACATAGTAATCATATTGTTGGGGTGTCATATTATTATGATAATCTGAAATCCCTTGCTTTGTGTGTGTTTACCATCATATTGGTGTATTTGGCTGTCAGTTTATTCAGCATTTTAATTACATAAATAAATTAGATACTCAATTTTGATACTACTATGTTATACAAAACAGGTAACATAAAATATATTTACAAACCTCCAGGTTTCTGATGCATCTTTGAAAGCATCAAAGCTGCTATACGACCTCTACCACCTATTGTAGTAGTTGTTCCAGCATCTGAGCTTACCTTTGAACAAAGTAATTATGTTTTCTTATTAAAACAATATTTTTTAAACATTTACAATTTACCTATCTTGTGGCACAACTGAGAAAGGTCTTCCTCATTTACCTTTTCTCCATATTCTATATGAATTATGTGTACTTACATAAAAATGCCATTCAAAATGTGTTTGAGAAAAATATGCCATTAAGATTTATTATTCTTCCTATGATATAGATGAAAATATCTATCCAAATTATAATTATTATCATATCTAAATGTTTAATCTACATTTATTTATAAGCAGATACAATAGTGGCCACAAATGGCTTGCATATGTATGAACAACATAGTTTTAATTTAATATTAAGATAGTGAAATTCCATACATTATACTTCAGAAACTTTGTTTTTCTTTGTTGACTTTACCATTATTACACCTACACTAAAATACATGATGCCATATAGTGATGAATACCCTGGTGTTTCAGACATCCATAGGCTATAATAACCATTTACCATTAGGTAGGCCATATGCTTGAAACTGTGGTTCAAAAACCTCTTACAGTACTAAAACAATAATTAACATACAACACTAGGTGCCACAGAGGGACCAGGAGTGGGATCTGGAGAAGGATGCTCCGACTGTGGTGTAGAATCTGTTGTTTGTGACTTCTTCAAGGCCTGAAGCAACGCCAGCCCCCGGCCTCGACCTCTATTTGGATCAGTCATGATGTTCTGTAATGTAAAAATTAATAATGTAATCGATGCTCAATCGTCAAGACTACCTACAAACTATAAAAGTGCTTTGTAGATAAATTTATATAGTTCAGGCGAACATTTAATTATAAAACAGAATTTTAATTAATATAGGTATGACAGTAAAAGCTTTATAGCCGATAATAGTAAAAAGAATATATTGCATAAAGAAAAATATAATAAAATAACTAAAATTTTTGCTAAATTTTAACAGACATAAACGTCATAAAATATAAAAATACAATTTTAAAACGTATAAAATTTATTAAAGTAGTGAAAGTAATATTTTATAAATAAAACTACAAAATTTACAAGTGTGTGTCTATTACTGTATATATATGTAATGTCTTTATACCTTCTGTAAACTTGTGGCAAACAATCAAAATATTAAATTTTCAAAGAAGCCTGTTTCTACGAGTTTGTACAGACGAACAAAGCCACAGAATACAACAGAATCACAGATCTCTCAGAAAGGCTCATCAGATTAGGGACGCGATTGACACTTACCTAAAAAAATCGATTATAAATCGATTCATAATAATCGATTTTGCTTATTCTTATTAGATTTTTCTTATGGGATAAAATAACATATAAATAATTTTGTTTATTGTTGTTGTATGTTATTTTACCCCATAAATTGGAAATTACTTTTTTTTTTAATAAGAACCATGAAATTATGTAGAATTAGTTTAATAAATTTACTCAATAACTCAAGAGGTGGCTACGTGATTCCTTCGCCTGTCCTTTGTATATGTATATATTTTTTATATTAAAAAAATATAGTATTGACTGACTTAATTTGTGTTTGTTCACAAACTAATTAATTATATAAATATAGCAAGTACTATTGGCAGGATGTTGGCTTTTTATAATTTCATGTTAGGAGTGTATGCACTTGTTCCACAGTGGGATTACTCATCTAAATGCATAAATACATTTGTTAGCGCTTGTCATTTTTATTTCTACTTTTATGTCAGATATATAATACGCTGAATGACAAGTTCGATAAACTTCATTTATTTTTTAATTCTAATATAGTCATAAAATTTTATTTGCCAAAAATCGTTGATTTTATTCTTAATCGATTCGAATTGATTCAATATTCCTTAGATGATATTAATATAATATCCTTAGATATAACAGGCAAATTAGAAAAGAAACAATATTATTTCCAAATATTTTACACAAATTACATGAAAAATGGCTCCAAGATCTAGTTTTTGATAAAAATCCCAACAACAAAAAAGTCTGTTTGAAGTTTCAGACGACCTTTTATCGCCGCTCATGTAATCGTTGACAAGAGTACACGATTAATATTATCGATTATTTATAATCAGTAATAAATTACCAGAGCTCGTTAGTGCTCATCACTATTTTAGTAAATAATTAGATATTTTCTATTTTCTGATGATATTAGGTATAAAATCATTTAAGTAGTTAATATTATAAAAAAAATGTTACGAAATTCGCTAAAGTTTGTTCTGAAAGGAAATGTAACTGGACAACCTAGTATACTGTTTCTACGCAGGTACGTATTATAACACATTTTTTCACATCGATGTACTCATGCGGCTTCTGCAACTAAATATTTAAAACTTATTTTCTTTGACAGATTTACGCATATGAAGCAATTTGGTGGCTTTCAGTCACAAAAGTTTAAAAATACTGGTAAAGTTGTACCTATGCTCAATAGTTGCCTTTCCCGCACTATGTTCATACAAACACAAGATACTCCTAATCCAAATAGTTTAAAATTCTTGCCGGGTACTAAGGTTTTAGAACCTGGGCAGACTATGGATTTTCCTAATATTGGGTCAGCGCAGTGTAGTCCACTGGGTGAGTCAAGTTTTAAATTTTTTAGCATTAAAAAACAAGAATTTATAAGAAAGATATTATTATTTGTTAGCTCTATTGAATTGTTAGAAATTGTATTCAGTAAATAGAACCTTATGAAAGTATATTATATTTTCTACCAATTATAATAAATGTTAAAGTGTGTGTGTTTGTTACCTTTTTGCAAGTAAATGATATGTTATGTGTGTTTGTCTTTTGAATAAAGAAACCATCTGGGTAGGAAGATAGGAATTGATATTTCTATGGAGTATCAATAATTTCTCAAGAAAGAGATATAAAATTCATCATATGAATAACAATTATGCTACTCAAGTACCTAAATTCTATGTAAGCGAATGGAGATACAGCCAATAGTTTGTCATATATTGATTATGAAATAATAATAAAAAAAAATTTCAGCGAAAATGCTGTTCCGTATTGAAGGTGTGAAGGCTGTTTTCTTTGGCCCTGAGTTTGTTACAATCACAAAGCAAGATGATGATGTTGACTGGAAATTATTAAAACCTGATATATATGCTACCATCATGGACTTCTTTGCCAGTGGATTACCTGTAGTCACTGATGCTAAACCTTCTGGAGACACACGTAACTATCTTTTTATGAACAATAACAAAAACATGCTCCTACTAAGAATTTTAAATTTTATATATATTTATTTGTAATGAGAACTAACAGACTATCATGCAATATGGTCTACTTTGATGATGGTCTCATAGTTGTCGGTGTCAATCCGAAAGTCAGCTAACTCCTGAAAATAGATTTGACGATGAATGGACACTTTAAATTAAATTGATCTTATGGCCACACAAATGTAAAAATATTTGTTTTTATTTTTACATTTGACTTTGGGAAGTTACTTTAGTTTCATGGATTATCATTTTGTCCTTGGCTTATTGCTTGGCACTTACATATTTTTTTGTCTAAAACTATATAAAACTACAGTTCTTTGTATTGTTACATGTATTGTTATATATTAATATTATATTATATATAGATTAATAAATGACGGTATAACAAAGTGCAATTATTATATGTATATGCCGTAACTAATATTTTATAAATGGAATAGATTTACATTTATTATATTGAGGTTTTGTTACAGCTCATATCATTTCATATTTCTATATTATTATCTTTACATAAAATAAAAGAAAAACTATTGAATATATATCGTTTATTAATATTTTTGAAGTACAAAAGGAATCACAAAACAAGATACACAATAGGTACATATAAATATTCAAAACTTAATTTCTGTGAGATATATTTTAAAATCATTATTAATACATAATGCTAGACTACAATTCGGACGACGACGAAAATATACGCTCGGTCCGTTCCAGGACGCAAATAAATTTTCGAGGACGTATTCATATGTCCTACCCGTACCCGATATTGTTTACGCCTGACGCATTTATGCATCTTGCCCGGTTAACAACTTTACTAATTATTATCATAAAATTTTGACATGTACTCATATGGTACCCAATCAAGTCAGTAAAGATCTCAAGGTAGTATTAATTTGAGTGGACTTAATTCTACTTAGCATTAAAAATATTAAGTCATCTGACCACATAATTGATACTACAGCACACACCAAGTTCTTGAAGTTCTAGTCAGTTGTTCAGTGTAACCCTTGATATGTTTAAACTATTATAATATTATCATGATGTTTGTTACCAGAGATAAATGAGGATGACGATGAAATTGTCCAAATGATAAAGGAACTACTGGACTCCCGAATTAGGCCAACAGTGCAAGAAGATGGTGGTGATGTACTCTTTGTAGACTTTAAGGATGGTGTGCTAAGACTCAAAATGCAAGGATCCTGTTCCTCTTGTCCGAGTTCAATAGTGACATTAAAAAATGGAGTAAGTCGAGTAATAAATTGTCTACCTAATTGATTAGTTATTAGCATTTTTTACAATGAAGAAACGATCCATCCATCGTTAAAATCTGTTTGGTCCAGAAAATTTAGTTTGGTAATAAATCCCTTGCATTATAAAGTGGTAAGTTACCTAAAAATAATTGATGCTCACCAAAGATGTTCGATATTGATAAAAAGAACTATAACGTCAACAAGTGTACCTCAGTTTCACCCATTGATCGATCCCTCTTCCAATTCAAACGGGGATCTAAATTAGGACGGCCTGAGGCGAGGTTCCAACCCCTTACCGGTGCCCTCATACTAAAGTCGTATCCGTCAGGCGGGAGCCGGGGATTGGCCTTCAACCGCTCCAGAGGACCTTCCGCGGGTTTGGATTGTTATCTGTACTCGCCCTCCTATCGTCCAGTAAAGCTGTAAAGGCCAGCTGCGGCCAAAGCATTAGAGTAATCCGAAAAAAAGGGGGTAGGGGTATAATCGCCCATATTTCCATATTACAGAGTAAGAGGCTACTATGCCTCTTACTCTGTACCTCTTAGTCTTTTGGTATAGCAACACACGAGTGTTACCTTACCAAGGGGCGTCTTAGACCTAGCGTGGTATCCGCAGTGCAATTTATGTGTATAGGCGACAGTTACCATCACATGGGCCGTCAGATTGTTTGTCATTCTAAATACATTTTTACGTTAAATTCCGTAGCCTCAACGTTCTTTTCTCACAAATTATAGTTCTTTACTTTACAAATTAACTTAATTTACAGGTACAAAACATGATGCAGTTCTACATACCTGAGGTACTAGCTGTAGAACAAATTGATGATGAAGGTGAAAAATTAAGCGATAAAGTTTTTAAGGAATTCGAACAATTAAAAAATAAAGAAAAATAAGTCGTTTAGTTAATTGGTTTCAATATGTAAATTTTGTAAGTATCCATTATGTAAATAATATATTTTATTACATTGTATGTAATTATATAATATTGTTTTAAAATTTTTTAACAACAACAACATAACTTGAATGACAATGATTATAACTTGTAGCTTTTTATAGGAAGTCTATTATTTATGAATAGTAGAAAAAATATTTTTTTGTTATTAATGTTGATTTTTAGTGGTGACAATTACGTAGTTAGAGTATGTAGTTTCGCCAATTGTTGACCAGCGAATGTTGGATATACTGAACTGAATTTAGATAAACATAAGAAAATGCTATAAATACAATTTTTTAATGTGAAATAAAGACATTAAAAATAATACAATTGTGTTTTATATATTCTTAATTTAATACTTACAAAATATAAATACAATTCTGTACCTAACTATAAAAATAATATAAAATAGTTTACATAACATTATAAATTTATTATCATTTGAATTTATTTCAATTATTTTTACATTGTAGATCTTATAATATAAATTAAAGTATAACTATTTAATTTGTATGACTAATACTTTGCATCGTATCAAAATATCTTGAATTAATTTTTATAGGTAAATTAAAGGCATTAATAGCACAGAATAAAACTGCTATTCCTTGCTGATAAGTGTCTGCTAATATATCTATATATCATATACTATATCTGACCTTAATCAAATTTCGTATATTTTATTGTATATTTATTATCACATATTCCCTAAGAATGTGTGAAAACAGTATTTCCAAGTATTTATTCGATACCAGGATTTACACCAATTCGAAAAATTAAATTTAAAAGAAATCCTCTACTTAATAAATAATCCACAAATAATCAAATCATTTATTTTCAGAATTTCTATATATAGAAACTTAAGTGAACTAATATATATAATCGTAATATATTTGTATATAAGAACATCTTAATATATTACATTGAATTTGTTTAAATATTCACGTTTATATTTCTCGCACAATTCTAATATGGAATAAACTCGATTAAAAACGACGAATTCTTTTGGGCGCCACCTAATCTTTAAACTACGGTTATTGGAGCCCATAATTTTACCTATAATATTTAGAAGCTTTAGGAAGGGAAATCTCTTCTTTGCGATGCATTTTTTTAGGTAGTACAATTATCACAATGCACCTATATTGTATTGTGATTTGAATATTTTCAATGTATATTCATACTTTGTATTTTGTATATATGTATATCCTTATTACAATGTATTTAGTACTATTTTTTCAAGTAATTTATGTTCATATTAGCATTAGTCATAGATATTATACACATTTTTTTAAAATTCAAACTGTACAATGGCAGTGTTTTATTTAAAGTAAAATAACTAAAAGTAACTTAATGTTAAAATATTAAATAAGTTATTGCAAATTACATGAAGTGAAATATTGATTACAACAATTACATGTATTATACAATGCTTATAAAATAGCGTAGGAATACCTACACTCCACACATTCTTAATTGGTTTAGGGTCATCGTACATTTAACGCGTTTCGCAAGCTTCGCCTAATCGAGTTAAAAAAATTGAAGTATGGTACGTTACATGTCATGTCATGCAATTAAATGTCTAATAAAAAAACCGGTGAATAGCACGCTATTCTCTAGTTATCCTTTCCTCTCCTTGACATGAAGTTATCTGTGCTGATTAGGCGATGTCTGCTCTAAATGTACGATGACCCTTAAAGTAGTAATACTAAGGTAATTTAAAAAGTAAATCTTCATTAGGAGTATATTTTTCTATTTAATACTTATGATTTGAAGCCTCCGTACATATAGGAAAAGAAAACTGAAGTGCATTTGGCCTTAAGACGCCGTAAACCGTAAAGCATAGGAAGTAAATATACTATTAAAATATATTAATTGTCTAGAATGTTACCAAATGTTCAAAAAAGTTTTTTTTACTAAATTCCAAGACGAAACTTAACATGGTTATTCCATCCGTTTTAAGTCGTACCAAATACATTATCTTACATTCCTGAGAGAACTGGTTAAAAATAAAAGTATGCTTAATACGGAATCCATTTAAATTATAAAAAAGTCGTTAAATATAACAAAGATCTTGCCATCATAGTAAATATTCAATTAAACAGTCACAGTATTATAAAAATGGTTTATGGTAATTAAGGAAAACAATTATGGGTGAAAATTTTAGTCTCAAGGATTACATCTGCATACACAACATGATGGAAATAGGAACCAGTCCATAAATATACCCATACAGTCGTTATTTGGATCGTAGGCCAAGAGACGGTGCCATTTGTACTTCTGTTCACATCCACAATCGCCTGAGCAACGAGACGTTGTTGTTTTACTGAAACAAACATTATTATAGGTATACATAATATTTCATATCTACTTTTAAATTCAAGTTACAAGTACTACGAAAATAAAAAAAACCCTTTATAATAAGTGTCCTGTTCTAGTAGATATTAGAGATTTATGTTACAAAATAATGTAAATTGTATGATACACGCTTATGCATATATAGCCGTTGGATTGGCTTACGCCTAGCCTAAAGTCAGGTAATATAGTCATAGTAGGTACCTGTACCACTTTCACCAACAAAAAGTAAATTATTTTTTAATACTAAATTGAACACCTGATTGCGCTGTGTATGTATGAAGGTTCTGAAATATATTTTCATCTTAATTTTTCGGGTTAGTTTGGGTCAGTTTCATGTATAGTATCGGTAATCGGTATAATAAAATAGTGTACAAATAAACTGTAACAGGTAATACCATTTTAATTAGGTACCTACCTGCATACTTCTTGATGGATGGCTTGTTCAAAGTGCATAGTGTTGACGATAGCCCGTAACTTGCTAGCAGAGTTCATTGCCCAGTACGGTGTAGTGATCGTCGTCTTGCTTTCACAGGCGTCTACTCTAAAACAGGAATTACAAAAGGATTAAACGCTTTCCAAATAAAAAAATATAAGTATGTACCTACCTTCAAGACTATATTGTGACTGAATGACTCCACGCTAGCGTGAACGCACCACTTGAATGCAACGGATGAGCTTCTGCATTTAACTATGATCAGGACTTATGAATACTGCGAAGTTATCCTATCTATGTAAATAATGCTTGTATTATCGGTACTAGACATAAGATAAGATAGATAAGAATACTTTTTCTAAATACTATTACGCTTACTTGTTAGTAGGTACAGTGCATGGACTCGAACCCGTGAGCATCGGAAGTAGAAAAAGTATAAATACCCCACGTAGAATATTTGAAGTGACTTCACGGAACCATTATTCACGAAATGAAATAATTCGCTTTACTGCATTCGTAATATATGTATGACATTTAACTGTCAATAACTTTTAGTTTATATCGTATATCTTTCTTGAATGGCACTTTATATAATTAATTATGTGTTATGTGGTATCCTAAAGTATTTCTTATGCAAAGTACCTATAGGTACTTAGAATCTTTTTTTACTCATCCAGGATTTGGACTAACAACCCATGATTTCTTAATCTACATATTCTCTAATATATAAACGAATAAATGAGGGTATATCTCTCTTAGGACGTATGTTAGACTCTAAGTATAAACAAAGTTTATTATCGTCGGCCAATGAGTGTACGGATTCCATGACTGCTGTACATAGCGATATTTCGTTGGATAATATATATGTTATTATACATATGATAGTTGAAAAAACTGCAGGCACCTCCCGATGACCTATGATCTACCATCGTTTAACATCGTTTTTTTGTATTAATATTTTTCCCTACTGTTCAGTTCAGTTTACAGATTCAATTGATAAAAACTGGCAAGAAACACGACAGATTTTTTTAAATAGCTAATTTATCTAAATTTTGAACTTATGTACCCAGGTGTCTATATCTAACACATGTATGAACTATTATTGCCATGCACTTCTGTCATTCAAGTAATCGTTTAGACAATTGAATATGCTCTTTTGCTACTTGGGCTTTGCTCAATAAATATGGTTTAACAGATGTTTTGAATTTATTTAAAGGCAATTCCAGTCAATATATCTTTCAGTATCTTATTGTATTTTTTTTTATTTCAATATGAATCATTATTTTTTATACCCATTCCGAAAATCATCCAATGGATATTAGGAAATAAATATTTACCTGTCTGTAGCATTTACATTCTGTGCATCAGGCGGGAGCGGTGTATTAGTCTGCCGAACGTGACGAAAGAACGAGTCGCCGGAATGTAGGTCTGGTACACCGGGCGCTCGACGCACCCTGCTTCCACCAGGGGTCGTGAATGTACCGTACATACGTTTTATTAGTGCTTTGTTCTCGTCTATGAAGTTCTCGATTTTATCTCTGAAAGTATATGTTATATATCATTAGTTATAGCAGAGGTGCTAAACTCAATTATGTAGAAAATCATTAAATTTACCATGTGTAAACGGGCCAGATACAAATAACAAAAATATACTGGATTATTCTAACATTTAATTTCAAATATATATGCAATCATGGATATTATATAGTGGATACAGCCCAGGGGCCGGATGTGGCCACGGGGCCGTATCTTTGACATGACGGATTTAGAGAATTATGGCCCAGTTGTTTACTATTCCGACCTGCCTGTACCTATAAGATCATGAGTTCAAATACGAGTATGTTAAATAAATACTAAGCGCACACACCATGTCTTTTTGAGGGTATGTCAAGTGTACTACACCATTTGGGATAACAGTCGTGACAATGCACCTACACCTCGTAAGCCTAGCGGTTCAGCACACCGTTTCACTTCCGATGGTCGCGGGTTCGATTCCTCGCACGGTACCAACATTTGTATTCATGAGTATGATTGTTTGTTTCGGTCTGGGTATTTTCAATGTTTGTTTTGTATATTTTCTATGTATATTTACGAAAAATATTATCTATGTATTCGGTAGTCTATCAGTTGTCTAGTAACTATAACACAAGCTCTGCTTAGTTTGGGACTAGATGGCGTTGTGTGAATTGTCCAGGCATAATATTGTAATTTTAGTATTAGGTCGTAGTTGCTCAAGGATATTATAATTGAATTCTGCGATTAGAAGTTCATTTCCAAGTTGGGCGGAAAATACCTACCTATATATTTCGACAATTATTATTTAATATGCTAATTAAGCTTTCGTTGCATAAGAAATACTTCCATCGTGAAAAGTTGGTATGAAACAGATATCCAAAGAGCAAAAACAATTATTAATTAAGAATTTGCAATTTTTATTATGGAATAAATAACAAATTACTATACGCCAGTGTATAGGGCATATCTATATATACGAAATGAAACCCGTCATACCAAAATGAGCATCTCAATAGTACACTAATATCCTGCGCGTATATATAGGTAGATACGCGTGACCAACCATCGGACTTCAAAGGGTTGTTACAGAATATTAAACTTCGCATATATATAGGTAGAGACGCGTGACGAGCCCTTGGACTTCATGGGTTATTATAAAATATTAAAATTGTACTTACAAAGGGTATGCACTGCCAGCAGTCGGACAGTAGAGCTGGTAGTTTCGTTTGACGCATGGTATGCCTCTGACAACTTGACCTTGTAACTCGTAACCCAGTGCCACGGAGAGCGCAGTCCACAAGATCTGAAATGATTACATAACACATCTTAAGAGCTGATTGTGATTTATTTTATGAACATATTCACTAATTATCACAATTTCTATGGTTGCAAAAATTTCATATTAAAATTATAAGTTTATATTTATAAGTTACTTATTATTATTACAGTACATTGTATATAATATATCTAAAAATACGTATAATATAAATTAGTCAGTAAGATTTATTGTAGACTAGTTACCCCGGCTCGGGTGCAGCTTATACATATAAAATCTTCGCACAGGTGTACATGTATTATACATATAAACTTCCCTCTTGTATCACTCTACCCATTGCTAAAAACTGCAATAAAATCCGTTGCGTAATTTAAAAGATCTAAGCGAATAGACAGCGGAAGCGACTTTTATACTATGTAAAGATATTAACCAAGTTCTATTGCATCAAAATAAAGTGTAAATTTAGTAGGTAGATAACATCTAACTATCAAACGGTAGGCTATATTGTTACTATTTTATGACGCGTTTGTACAGCATGTAACAAAACACGATCCTATAAATCTGAATAAGTTACTACACGTCTCACTATAACAAATGGCCAAATAGAATGTGGGAACAAACTGTTATGTATCTTGCAGTTTAAATTTTATAACATTATGCACGTATTACGTTATTACACAATGTAAACTCACACTTAAACGATTTAAGCTGAATAATTCCATGTCCGGCACTGGACAAATTTTTAATTAACACGTCCAGCTACTGTACTGTGTGTTAATTAACTGAACGAATCCAAAACAGATAATAACCGAAAAAAGATGTTACGCTCTGTACAACTTCTTCAATCCACATTGAGCGCTACACGTAGGATGAGTCTTAAGATATATCCTATCGTTCCTTTATATATTCATACAAACGCGCCCATAATTCACCACTTATTCATGGTATTTTTATCATGCATACAAATAGAAAGATGCCTATGTTGTATAGTGTAAGTAACGCTAATGTTAATCAAAATTCAATATAGGCAATTCTGCAAAACGTACTCGATCGGAATAAACTTAAGCTTTCCTATGAATATATTTGTATTCAAAATACAATTTCTCTTATTATTCAGACATGCATGTATAATCGAATTAGTTAAAATAATCCATTGCATTATAAAACGACGGAAAATTGGATCGCATCATTAATTTAAGCAAGAGCTAGTTATTTAGCAATTCTACAGTTCACCAGTAGGTATACTTTAGAATCAAGTGTGTCAATAACCTTGCATAGTACGAAATAAATTTACATATATTTTTAAACATAAAAAATAGCATTTGGCGTGCAGACTTCTGGCGCTTAAACATCATTGCTGATGATTTATTACATTTTTACATCTCAATGTACTGGTTTTTGCGTTACATTTGCAATGGTAAAGTTCATTTCTTAGGCACATCTAAATAATATTCCGATTTTTATGATGTTATGGACAATCTATTTAATTTTTATCTGTCTTCCGACTGCCACTATAAGGCCAAAAGTAATTATTAAACCGAGAAATACAAATTAATTACGCCAAGTATTTGAGTATTTAAATATCACTCTAGATGTTTCTTACGATATAATATCATAGAACCTCATGTGTTATTTTAATCGGAGTGACTTAATGACTTAGGGAGGTAACATAATTACATCTTGAGTTGTTCGTATGTAATAATAGCATTTTATTATTGTTTTCTTGTACACGTTTATGTATAAGTACCAAGCTAAGTTAGTTCTTCGACTTGTGGCGTACTGATAAGATATATTAATTTATATCTATTATATATTATATTTCCTAGGTAAATTGATGTGGGTATTGTAAAAATAAAATTCTTTACCTACTATTTTTTTATGTATCAGATTATGGAATGAAAGCGCTTATACTGGCGGGGCTCCAGTGGAGGATGAGCATGAGGTCAGGACAATTGACTGACAGTTCATTGACCCCATCGTTACAAATTCTCCAGGAATTCATCACGATGATTTCCAGAGGGATCATCGTGGAGGCTAACTTAACTTGGTACATTGCTATAGAGTAATTATTTAACATTATTATCAATCCCTTTCCCCCTAATGGATAGTTATTGAATTATTACTTACCTATTTAAAGATAGTCGGTAATATGTTCACGCGTATCAATTTAATCTATCAATCACTGATCTCTTTGGATAATAAATGGTTCACAAATCATTTAACACAGATTAAGTTACCTACGTCAATTAATTTCGCCATTGGACATGTTAACGAGGCGGTTCAAACAGTCTCAGGTCTATTAATTAGCAATCTTGTATCATTGCCACTATTAGATAATGGGTACATCATGTGACTATTAATATTTTGTTCTGACTCGCATTTATTTATAGCTAACACGTACAACAATTTGTTTTAATTTCAATCTTAACTAATATTATAAATTCTTGTATATCAAAATTTGTGAGAAGAATGACATTATCTGTTGTAAACAGATAATGTCATTCTTCTCACAAATTTTGATAAATTCATCTGGTATCTGTTATTGATGCTAATTATGTAATACTAAATAATGTGTATAATTTGTATAAGATGCTGATTAGCTAAATAAATTAAATAAAAAAGGTTTGTAATGTGTCCCGGCCAATAAAAAAAAATAGTTATTATATAAATGCTAACTTCATTCTTATACTTATAACTTGAGTACAGAAGAAAAATAATACTAAATTATAGGTATAAACAAATAAGGCAAATATACCTTTTCGACAGGTTTTCTACATGAAGTAGTCACTTGTATTGTCAATTCTTTGATATCGACGCGAAAAGCGGTAAAAATTATAGCTTATACCTTCTTAAAGGACCCCCAACCTACTTGCAATTCCTTTGATGTTACGGGTGCTCATTGGCGGCGATAATCACTTACATAGTCTTTGTTTTTCTCTATGCTATAAAAAAATCATCCCAGTATATCCGAAAATATGTTCAACGTGGCAAGGTGCGTTCCACCACCTTCCACCTTCTCAGACTAGTTTGTTATTATTGTTTTCGTCACATGAAAGTCAGTCAGAAATGTAAATTTAAACACTATTTTTTATTTTGGCAGGATTAGAATTCACAGCGGTCAGTATCATGCGGCTTAAATCTAAGTTATGACGCTCTATTTATACCATACAACTAAAAAGAATAAAGATACATTAGAGGCTATATGTTTACGAGCAAATATATAATCTACAGTACTAATATTTTTTGCTATTGTTCGGGTTTAGTCATTTGTTAGGTAAGTACTTAATTGGCTATTTTATATGCGGCCCACGGTATTGCAAATCTTTGTTGTTTATATTAGATATTTAGCCAAAATAGTAACAATATCGATTGCGCTAAAGTTCAAACTTGGATATGAAAATACAATCAACGCATTTGAACAAAACTCCGTCTTAAAATGCGTCAACTCGTAAATACTGGCATTTTGATCTTAGTCACAAAAGGGTCATTGTTTCAATAGCTACACCTGATTAATAAAATGTTCTTATAAGGTTAAAGATATTTTGATTACCTATGTATATGTAGATGCTAACGGAAACTTTATATATAAAAATATAAAATTTTATCTACGCGGAAACATAAAAATCGAAAATCGCGTGCATTATAACTACGAAATAATTGTTTATTATACTTGTTGTATCAAATTAGAGATTGTAAGAATGAAAGCTATCGATTCTCTACCATATACTCTGGTCGGGTCCGTTGACAACAATCATAAAATTACTAACAATAATACCATTAAGAGGAAACTCGGACACTGTTTTTTCATAGAAAGGTATTCTCCTTTTTTGTTATGTTTTCCTATTTTTGATATAATTTAAGAAATAATATAAGTTGTCAAAATCACGTTATTTGCTGAATTCAAATCATCATAAACAATTCATATAAAATTGACAAATGAAAATATCGAGGCGTAGCCAAAGGCCTTCCTGTATTATTCTCGAAATTATTTAATATTTGTCAAGTTTCAGGATCTCTATGTACTAATTAAAAAAAAAAACAGATATTTCCGAACCGAAGTAAACTGCAATTGTTCCTTTCGCTTTTCTTTCAAGGAAATATGGGGCAGTTTCACACTGCCCCATATTTCATGTCATCGAAGAGAGATGTGTCCACTGCTTGGGCAGGCACTGAAATCTAGCACTACAATGTCAAATGAAATGTATCGAAGTCCGACTTTCGCGGAGGACCCCGTCTGGCACTTGTAATTGGTATAAATATTACACCTGCATAAACCAGATATGTATATATATATGGTCAATATTAATTTATATCTATTCATGCTTTATCAATTTGAACTATATTATGAGGTAATTGTTCGTCAATTAAGTTTATTAATTACTAGATACTCGCCCCGGTCTCGCACACACATGTATTATATTTATAAACCTTTTTCTTGAATCACTTATCTATTAAAAAAAAACCGCTTCAAAATCCATTGCATAGTTGTAAAGATTTAAGAATACATAGGGACAGGCACCGACAGCGACTTTATTTTATATTATGTAATAATTACGTGCACCTATGATGAAATCAAGAGTAAATTAAATTTGCTGCTGTATATCCACTAAATATCTCTATCATAGGTTAATTAAAAACTGATGAACTCTACTAAGTTTCATTCATTGTTTTATCGATGGAATTGTGAAAAACAAATCCTTCCTTGGTCCCATTGTTTAGTTGAACCACATAAAATTGGATAATTACGTTTTTTTCTATTCATGACAAAAGTTTGTTGACATTTGGTGATATGGTCCAATGAATTTATACTTTAGGTACAGTGTATACATCAAGTTCGATTCTGAAATATCATTCTTTATGTATTCACAGATATCAAAAATTCGATTAATTTAAATATTTAAAAATAATATGAAATATAAAGGCAATTTTAAACGCCATTCATTAAATTTATATATGTGATTTTGGGCTAATACATATATTATTTTTATATTCCTGCACACATAAAATATATATTAATAAATAATTTATAGAATTGATAAATTAATTTAGCTTTTGTAACATCAATGTAAATGTGAAGTATCTAGTTTAGTAGTGATGCATACTAAACTAGATATATGTACAAGGTATAGAAACAAGGACTTTAATTTGCATGAAGACTTTTCTTCATATAAATTGAGGTCCTTGCATTGTCTATTTGTCCAAAACCGAAACTTAACAAAGTAGAGGAAGAAATAATAAGAATATAAGAAATAAAATAATAACAAAACTCTAAAAACATAACAACTAAATTAGTTCACTTACTCTAGAAATAACCAATTAAGTAATAATATATATATATGTATATATATTGTACATAAAGTTGAACTATATAAAAAAATAGCCAGATCATTTTAGACAGTAGTACTAGTTTGTACGTCACTAGTTTTCAGAAAATACTAACACGTATTTTGGTGTTTATAATATTTTTTTTAATGTTGAATAACTGTCAATTCTATCAAGTACCTGTCTAATATTAAAAAAGGTGAATGCTCTACCAATTATATCCAACTATCCACACAATATTAGGTATAAATTTTATTACGTTGTCCACACGGGACGAATATCTTATAAATCGGTCACGTATCATGTTTTATCAGTGCTAAGCCCACGCGTGTGAGTCAAGCCTTCAGGGTTGACTCACATAACTTTAGACTTTAGGTATCCTATATGTTAACTTATCTAGAACACTTTCATTTATGTAGAGCTAATTTAAAGCTGCCTTTATGTTTCTAAGTTTTTATAAGTTTAATCGCGCACAACCTTAGTAAGTTCTTCATTTGACTTAGAGATTTCATACACATGAACAAGTAATTATTCCAGAGTAACATCATCAGGCAGTGGTGTAATAATGCCTTTTATGATTAGTCACACAACTTTTAACAATGGTATAACATAGTAAATGTAATTAATATCATAATTGTGTTGAAATCCAAATTACCAACAGACTGCACTGATAACAAATAGCCAAAACTACTTGCGCTAGCAATACTGAAATACTCTACTAACTGACCTGAAGTACAATGTAGATTTTTCCTCAGGTAATTGTAAAAAAAAAGATTCTATTCTCATGGGAGCAGTCAATGCAGAATATCGAACGGGGTTATGTTCGGAAAAAGATGTATGAAATAGAATAGTCTTAATGAAATTCGTTTGTGAATTCGTTTGCGATTCTAAGCGTGCATACATTATTCGCTCACTGCATGACAGCCCTGCTTGAGTGGTTTAGGTGGAACTCACGTTTCCTGCCGACCTACGCCGTCGCAATTCTAATATTGCGTCCGAGTTGAATAAGATCAGAACAATTTACTGTTTAGAGAAGCTAAGTTAGGATATTCATAGCTACAATACAAGCGGGTCCTTAGAAGTACTAAAACTTAATTGCATATATTTAGATATACTTTTCAGATAGTATTTTAGACTCGATTTTTCAAATCAAAAGAGAGTTTTTTGCTTTAAATTTAATCACGATTTCCGTCCTTCTGTTGTTAAGTCATGGAAAGGTAATTCTAGTGATAATGTTCGTTCACCTTATATTTCATCAACGAAAACCTAATGGATCAGTCATTTAACCGTGAAAAGGCAATAAACAGACAGATGGACAAACTTTCGTAGTTACAATATTACTTTCAACGAATATGGGGATAATTCATATTACACAAGAACTCTGCAATGTAGCTAACCTACGTCCTAAGTCTGTATGCAAATAAATTGCACTGCGCATGTTTGTTGATTGTACTCTTCGTCACGGCGTTTCAAAATACAATTAACACCTATTGGCTGCGTGATCAAATATGCTATCCGTATGGTGAGGGAATAAGAATACAATGACCATGTCATACAGTGTCTCATTTACCAAGGTAGATTTTCCATAAAGTTATCTGCGTGAGTAACTTTGTCTCACTTATTTATAGTTATTTATAATCCTTTATTGCGCGAATTGTAAAAGCAGATACATTAAAGAAAAAAGAAGGTAGGTACAGAAGGCGGTCTTATCGCTAACGCAATCTCTTCCAGACAATCTTAGGTAAGAGTTAAACAGTTAACAAAATTAAAATTTAAGCCATTAAAAAAATATATACTTATGTATATAAATTACTTTGTCTCTTTGTCACTTATTTTGTCTTTGTCGCTTATTTCTGCCGCTTCGCTAATTTGTTTTAAGCCTGTAATGTCACTAAAATTACGTGGTACGTAGGTACGATACTTTAGTCTTACGAGTATGTATAATGTAAACAATAAAAACATTAGAAAGAGTTTTACGTGTTACCTTTACAAGAGCAATTAAAGATTTTAGTTTAAATTTATAATATTTTTATTTTTATCTGTAGTTCGATTTTTAAGATATATTTACCAACATCTGTGCGTTTTGTGGCAGTCTGTTTTAGCCTATTTTCGATCAATTTGCCGAAGGTAGGCTAATATACGTAGCTATATAATAGACAAACAACAGAAGTAATAGTTACTTCTATTATTTGGTGTCTACTCATGGCTACAAAATAAAACGTTACCATAAAATGGCATTTTATTCCATCTAACCCCGAAATAAAACGGAAATAGGTATCATGTTATTTTATCGTGATATTTCAGAGTAAATATAAACCGATAACATAAAGCTTCTTTACATTGAATGATGTCGTAAGATTGGTACTAAATCTATACCTATTACCTACTAGTTACTGGCGAACGAGCTCAAATTGAGTCGTTGATACATCTAATTACTTTTCTACTTTGTTGCGTAGCGAAGTTTCTGAATTATTGATGCTAGTTAATAAAGTGATCAAAATATTTGTAATACTGCAAATAAGTTAATTATAAAACTAGTTGATATATATATTAGAGGCTATGATTTAGTTTTCGTGGACTTAGTATTTCCAGTACTTTTTATAGTAGGTACATTTTATCCATACTAATATTATAGAAAGCATGTCTATTTATTATCTATTCACGAGTAAATGATCTTAATAAAATTTGACGTGAAGATAAATCACGAGTACGAAGTCGGAACACACTCAGTCGAGCCGAACAGTAATTATACTTAGTTACAAGTATATTTGTTGCATATCTATTGTATTCATATAAATACAATAGATATCATTGATATAATATATCCAGTAATTTTAATTTATAAAAAATCCGTATAATATTTTTTTTGTAATTTAAATATGTTAATGGCCGTTATAAAAATCGGACAAGTATTTATTTAAATTAATTCATTTCATTAAAAAAAATCCATATTATATCAATTATCAGCGAGTAACATAAACCCATAGTTTTTCACGAGGTCAGTACCTTATTATGCAGCCAGTTACCCATGAAATTTTCTAAACTTCTTACAGGTTATACAAAATAATTAAAAATAGATAACGTACCGGTATTTGGTAGAAGGATCCATTGGCAACCGTTGGATACGACGTGAGGGGAACTACCGGTACTGTCCCATTTCTGACAAGTATAGGCCCTTGAAGTGGTGTTATAGCTGGCTGACCTGAATCTGAAACTGGTAATAAACAAAAATCTTATATTTCAGAAGTAAATGTTAAGATATCTGTAGCCTGTGCTTATAACTTTATACAATAAAAATAATGCCGTTTCTATTAAACATAAATTTAGTTGGCAAAATGCAGTGTTAGATTGATTGGTGTCAGTAAATATAAAATGCGAGTATAAAACCCCTTTATAATATTAAGATTAAAAATACATAATCATAAATAGAGATTAGTAAAGTTTGAATTGATTTTCAAATTCTTATATAATATTAGGTATACGAATGAATGAATAGATTTACTTAATAGTCATTATTTAGACTTGCTATGTATAAGTTATGAAAATAAATAAATATATATACTTTACCCCGTCCAAAATACTTAATTTATATTAGACTTTATCACGATTGGATGAGAAATTAAGACGCCAAGAGACAACAAACCAACACTTAATCTTTTTGTACATATATATATATATGTATACCAGTATATATATATATATATATATATATGTATAGTAATAGTACTTTTTTCTTTGTTACACACAAGATCTGGCTTGTTGTAAATATTAGGTATAGTTGTTAAAAATTACTTTTAAACTGCTTTAGTGAAATCAGGGTTTAGTTCAAGGCTTGAGCTGCGCAAGAGCATGCCCATTTAAGGACAATACGATATTTAGAAAAGCCTGCTGATGTCTCACACCTATTAGTAGTTAAACAAAACTTCTACATACTGCATTAGAGGCATAGATAATTATTTATATAACCACGACACAAATTACGATGTTGTGTAATATAATATGTCACTAACTATAATACAATGACATAGTAAGCAAAGCCAGCCAAATAACTGAATATCAAGTAGAGTTTCTAATATTAGTCAATTTATGAATGCAATATTGAAAAATAATACAAAAAGTTCCGCAAATAAAAACTGTAGACAAGAACAATTTTACATACTAATATTTTAAATCTTAAAGTGTGTCTATCTGTATGTTTGTTATACTCCGAAACAAATTGACCGCTTCTTATGAAATTTTATGTATTTGGTAGGTAAACACACTCCGATGTTTTTTATATCTCGAGGACAAAAAATTTAATCATTCACTATTGAAAATACATCATTTTCACTCTTCTACCCCTCAGCACCTATTTTTAATAGCGATATTTAATTATAAAATGCAAAGTAACGTTTGCCCGATCCACTAGTTTAATATAAATACTTGTTGTTCATAGCAGACTTTCCATTGGGTGACCACTTGTTTAATTTACGTTAATTGCAAAGAGACACTGTCTGATCTATAGTATCAGTATTACTCACATCTTAGGTATACCAATTTAAATAACTGGCACAAAGAACTAACCCAGTTTGAGACCATAGTAAGGTCGGTATTTGAAAGGGCTGCGAAGTATTTACGTGATATCGACCATTCGGTTTATTACTTGTTGTTGTCTGTAACCTACTCTATAATAAAATAAAACAATTACTTAGAAACTTCATTGTCTATGATTTGAGAGTTTTCAGACTTATAATAATATTTTACTTATAGCATAGACGCTATATAATATGATAATAAACATTGTCAAGAAATGGGTAATTTTTTTGTATAAATGTTTTTTTTTTATAAAAAACACAAATATACCCAATATTTGGCTTGTTTTTCAGTCATTTCGTATTTTGATCAAACTTTTATATCTTATAAATTTCAATCAAAATTTAATTATTGTGTTAGGAAAATTTATTTTGTTAGGTAGGTATATATTATTTTATTAATATATTATTAGTATTTTTTCTTGAAAAATAATTGTTTTAAATTGGATTTAAGTAGGTATAAAGCTCGTAATATTTAACATTTTATTAATTTTTTTAAATTCATGTACATTTTTGTTATAACACGAAGATATAGTATAACCAGAATATCCATTAAGTACATTGTTACAATATCTTCATTTAACGGCGTAGGTCGGTCACGAAATGCTTTCTCTTGGCGGGTCAAGGCCGTTTTCGATCTCATTATTAATTGATTGCTCACAACTTGTTCATGTTACACATTTTATAACTGTGTTGTAACAGATGAGTTCAACTTTAGCATAGTCGCATTTGATGATTGGAAAGCACTTCGAGGTTATTTTTGGCCTTAGTCACAAAGGTGTGGTGATGGTCTAATATAATGTGCCACTCCTTATCATCCTTAGTATGTCGTAATAGGCGACTAATGGAGTAGTAAAGAATAAAACAAATGGTAGAGTAGGAAAACTCGAAAAGTACAACTGTGTCCATGAATACAAGTATGGTTTCTTACCAGTACTTTTGTTGGACAATAAGGATAGGGATTAAAAAGGTCACGTGCGTAAGTGCCAAAATATGCTAAAAGTGAATGAATAAACACATAGAATATAGTATATAAACCGATGACTCTAGATTTGTAATGACACAATTTTTATTACAGTTGTACAATTTTGATTATTAGTAATGTACTTATTAATTAACGTCGGTTTATTTTAATAGACGTTGACGACCTTGGTGGTCTAGCACACCGCTTTACGTCTGATAGTCGCGGGATCGATTCCTCGCACGGCACAAACATTTTGTATTCATGAGTATGATTGTTTGTATCGGTCTGGGTATTTTCTATGTATTGTATTAGTTGTCTAGTACCCATAACACAAGCCTTAGCTAGCTTGACTTGGGTCTAGATGGCGCTGTGTGAAATGCCCTGAGATTATTATTATTTATTTTAATAGGTAGGCAAATGTCTCAAAGTATTGAACTGCATAATTTGGAAATAATTACATGTAGTAAAACATTTAAATTTGTGAAAGTGCCAGAATGAGTAAGTAAGGAGTGCCAGACTATAATAAAAGTTCGAAAGTGAAATCAAGGTGGAAGTTCTTGTTTCCAGTGACAGTAAACAGTTACATTATATTGCAATATATACACGACATAGGTACTTAATTAATGAAGCCTTCGATATTTTATGCGACATCATGCAATGAATAATATAGTAGTCATGTCGCATAATTTGCTCAAACTATATTCATAAATCATAGGCACCTATGTTAGTTTTTAGTAATTGATGTAATTAATATATGAATAAATTACATTCATTGACTTTAAAATGTAGATTCCGCATAAATTCGTCTGCCAGTGTTTTAATAACATTACAAATTTTACAAGATTAAGAATTAATTTCATATGAGATGAGAAAGATGTATGAGAAAGATGTAAAGTCAGATGGGACAAGTTATTGGGTTCCATAAAATAGCTATGTTGATTGACAACGGCAACCATTGGCTCATCTGTTATACTTGTGAACAGGTGCTGCTTGTAGGCTGCTCTGCTCATTGTGACTGAATTATTTTGTTACTCAAATAAATAGTTCTGTTAGTTAGTCTGTATTCGCACAAAATCTTAAATACAGTCCAATAACATTTGTTTAAAAATTCAGACTGCTCATTTTTATTTCATTGAATGAAAGGTAGAATAAAAATATCATTAAAAAGTGCCTGTATTCAGTTCATATATAAAGAAAGGTTATATATATATATATAGACATTTCACAATCTATTTATAACGGTATCTATAATAGATATGTAAGTATTTTATTAGCTGCGAATAGAGGCTTAGGTGTGATGCAAAACAACTCGAAAGCGTGCTGAGATTTAGAGTGCTCCCTGTCATGATATGATAGCGTTAATCTAAGGTGTCATTTGTAATCTAGTCTATATAGTTTAACTATATATATATTAGATGGAGATCCTCAACCAAATGAGAAAACGAAACGATACTGTCTGTTCATTTAAATTAATAAGTTATGATACATAGCTTAAATCGGTATTAAGATTTTCTCTGATCAAATGTACTTAATTTTGTATATTTTTATTGTATTATAAACGATATTTAAAAATTGCATTTACACGTTATTATAAACATTAATTAAATTGATGATAATAAAGCTGTGCCCGCGGTTACACCCTGAAATTTATAACCTGTCTGTTACTCTGATGTATAAACTAGATATATTATTGTAAAGTTTAATTAAAATCCATTCAGCAGTTTCTACGTGAAAGAGTAACAAACATCCATCCATCCATCCACACTTCTAACATTTTAAGTCATAACAGAGATTTAGTGAACGCTAAACGCTACGCTGAACTGACAAAACATACGTATACTCCTTAATCTATATTTTTATAATATATATATATTTTTTTTTTATTTAGGTCTATATACTTATTACAGTGATACTATCTATTGAAGTAGTAAAATTTTATAATTATCTAAAATATTTATTTTTTATTTCATTCAATAAATTGGTTATGACATCCGTATTGTACGTTTTAAGTATTTAATTACCAAGTAATTTTGCATGCATTGGCATTGAAAACATGACATTGTAAAGATTATGGAATATTTTTTTAGTCACATAAAATGATAGTGATCTTTATGGGCGTTATATCACGTTTGGCCAAAGTTTACCGTGTTTATGTCCTGTGTCAGGGCGATTGACCGAACCTGATGACTCCGTCATTTCCCTATTTTTTATCTTATTACCACGATTTTATATACATATGATATTCTCTACATGAAACTTATTACTGCCGTGTTTTACTAAGGTTATACTAATATATATATATCAAAAAGAACCCTAATGTAATATTCTTGTATAAAAATTCGTGGTGGATTTACATTGTGGTTCCAAGAGGATGGCGACTGAGGTGTCCATATACCTAATCATATAATAACGACATAAGTAGAAAGTGAGTTATTTCCTTTTCGTTATATGTATATAAAAATAGTGATATTGGTATATAGGTATGTGGAGATTAAGAGAGATTATTTTTTGTGATGTATATATATTACAGAAAATAGTATCTAAGAATATTTTAGAGTTAGAAAAATGAGAGTATAAACGTCAGTGCGTCAGTTTAAGTTTACTATTGTACATGTAAAATAAAAACATTTTTTTTATTATTTTGTAATTAGATCAATCTTGTTTCATTTTGAAGTTGAATAATAATTAAGACACATTTCTAGGACTCGACAACGTTTATGTTCGTATATCAATTGCTGCAGTAGAGTAGCCATTGTCTATTTGGCATTGGCGTTAAAGCGTTCGAAGGCCTCGCGATAGACCCAAGATATAGGCACAAGCGACTATCCAAAATGAAATTCAATAATTGAATTAAATTACGCATAATATGATAATGATAACCTACAAAATAAAATTATAAAATAACCTATAAATATAAAGTTAAAATGTCCGAAACTACGACAAGGTTAAATAAACAGTGGGCTTTGGTTTTTTGTTTAACTTCTGTTTACATTAAACGTACTTATTAAATATGACATAGGCAAATAAAATACAAATACTTACGAAAAAGTACATATTTAAAAATATACTAATAAGATACTTCAAAAGGAATTACAAATGCTAAGTATAATCCAGCAAATAATTTAAATAATAATTGCAACAACCCGATTTCTAGTAAAAAATCGAAATTTTCTAAACTGCCTCAAAAGACGATACGGGTTTTATAATCAGTGATCTAACCAAGTGAATAATGACTGTGAATACATAAACAAAAGATATGTAAATACAATATTTAAACATGACATTATATAGATATAAAATAGTACAATCAAGATCTGATAATACAATTTTTCAACTATTTCGCAACTTAGGAAACGAAGGTTTGCATTTGAGAAAAGATGCACTCGAGACTCGAGACTCACGTGTTTATGTAATCGTAAATTATACATTTAAATTAGTAACTTGCTCATTTTATACATTTATGTAAAAGTTACCTAATATACCTACTTATTTATGATAAATTATTATAAAATTGGAAATTATAAACGTAAGTTATTATTTTTAGTATTGCATTATTAAAAATCATTCACGTCGTCTATAATTTTAAATGAATATTATTAAATACTATATACCTATTTTTAAAAAGAGGTATCGTAAAAGTAATAATAATATAAAAGAATAATGTCGCTCATACTATATCTATATTATTATATATAACTGATAGGTACTGTACCTACATAGCGATATGTATATCCATATAAAGAAATACCATTATAAATAATAATAGCCATAGTATTGAGAACTAGGAAACAGTCTTAGAAGAGGTTTAGAACTTCTGTATATTTTCTTTGGTTGTAAGAAGAAGGCCTAAAAAGAGATGAATGGACTGTTTTGAAGATCATATGCCAAGCAGGGGAGTACATAACGAGATCAGACGAGATAACTGTAATGAGAACAGAAATTAATAGAAGAGAAAACATATATGATCATAAGCTCGCCAAATTGTACAATTTTACTTAAGTGCAATAATAATAATAATATCCTAAATGATATGATACAAGAGAAGGATGATGATGATATCCTCGTAGCACATGTAATACGGTAATATAAAAAGTAAAAAATGTTAATGCAGGTGCTGGGTTCTGTATCCACCACACTGAGAGTCTATTTCTTGAATAATAATCTGTTATAGCTTTATTCATTGTATTTCAATAATCGCTTGTGTCTAATACTTATTATTATAATTTAAGAACAGGTTTAATTGTCTTGATTGCTTACTCGCACTCTAAACCATAGACTATACAAATTTTGCCAGAGGCAGGACTATGAAAATTACTAACGCAGTTACTAAAATATTCAGTTTCAAACAATTTAATAGTTACAGTTTATGTATATATGCTATCTGTCAATATCAGTTACCAAAGAAAGAAATTATGGATAATTACACTTTCTATTTCAAATGACAATAATCTAACAAAGAGTGTGCACTATATATTCTTAATTATTTTCACAACTAATAAATAGTAATGAATGAAAAGAATGTATTATATTAAATTTTAATAATAAATTATACGTCATAATGATTTGTAAATTAAGACACAGGCCAAATGCAGTATAAAATAAATATATTTACCAGGTCCAGGAACATCATCATAGTAATCATCATCGTAGTCAAGAACGGCGTGGAGTTGCGTTTTCCCGCCGGGGCTGCCACTTTCCACTTTCGTAAAACCTCGAGGTCGTTCGGGTGGTGTTTGTCCAATGCTACCACTAATACTTCCCGTTTTTGTTTCACCTTCATTGTTCGGTCTCTGCGGCAACGGAGCTGCCGTAGTGACAGGTCTATTCATATAATTATAGTTATTAACATTTTGGTTCGAATTTACATCGAATCTTCGACTAGAAGGGGGGGCTGACGTTGTCACAGTCGTATATGGCGAGTCCGCATAACCCGGATTGTAGGAAGGGTGTTGCCCATTTTGATTAAGTCTCCTCTGTTCATAATCGTAATCGCCACTAGGATCATGAATGTACTGTCCCGTGTTATCGAATCGATTCACTTGTTGCACTCGTTGATTTTCTATCTGTATGTCAAGTCTTGTGTTCTGTTGATATACCTGTGAGTGCAGTTGACCATTGTATGGATTATGTGGGACGTCATTGTGTGGGTAATGTGTAAACTGGTTTGGGGGTGGAAGGTAGGCGGAACCGGCTCGTTTTCGAAGCTTCGATCGCTTTTGTTGATTAGCTGGTGGCGTAAAAGGTTCATTTGGAGATAGTGGGTAGTCGGATTGTTGTACTTCAGGAGAATAGAGCAAGTCGTCAAGATCGACACGCAACGGTGTCGAGGAAGTGGTTACAAGCGCTGGTGTTGTTGCGGAAGCTGCCGCCAGCGTGAAATTTGCCAAAGCCATTGCTTATTCAGTCGGCATTGGTGCGATATACCAACTCACTAAGTCAATATAATGCACGACGGACGTCACAGCTACACTTGCATAATAATGTAAGCGTGGGATCGTCTAGCTGCGCGAGCGTCTTCTCATTGTTGTAACAAGGGACACTGCACTACACAATAACTCACAATAATACACACGCGTCCTGGATTTTATCTGAAACAATGGAAATAGATCTATCATTATTTTCATTCACATGCCATTATTTAGGTACTACTCGTATTTACTTTACTACCTATAGTACTGCTTAAAAAATAGCATCAGGAATCAATTATAGGAATCAGGTTATTTAATGATTTTTTATAAACGGCGATAATTTTATTTGTTCTCACTTTTATACAGTATCTTGTGGTTTAATAATATTTTGATTATAATTTGTATCTCTCCCTCTAGCCTTAAGCTCAAAAGTTTTATGAAGGCACTACAATGATAATGATTGTATATAAAATATGGCATAAATAACAATAAACGAAATTAATGAAATAAAAATTTCAAATATAAATTAGGAACATTTATTTTCTATTTTTTTTTTTATACAGTGTTTCCACTTTTATATATTTTTTATCATATTGCCAATATATTTTTTAGTTAATTTATTTATTTTTAAGGATGATAATAATCTTTACAATATTTCGTGTAGTTAGGGTTAACATTCCAACTCAAAATCGTTTAATATGTCCATATAATTTCAATATATTTTAGCCACATAGGAGACGTATCTATGTGGATTAATTATTGTTTTATATAATAACAATTATATCCAACGTCTATTTTAGATGAGAACAACTGGCATTTATCAGGCGACCTTATAAGTATAAAATTATTACATTTAATTTAATTATTTCTATGCATCCAATAATTAATATGTCCAGTCGAGTTTCGTTGACAATCAGATATAAAAAATATTGTCCTTTAATCGCTCATAATTTATCGTCAATAAGGGTTTGACAGACGTGAACATCTCATATCATGTGAATTGTCGTTTTATGACTGGATTTCCCCCCAGTTTCGTGATATCCTTGCCACTTTACAAATGGCAGTTTGTTTGAAAGGCGCGAATCGTGATGCGATCCAAGTGCCGTCAGCTTTTAGTGTAAATCTGGGGAAACCCGATACATTACAATATTTTATATAACTCTTGTATCAAGTAACAATGAATTAATTTTAACATCAAATTTAACAACCGTGTCATTTTTTTTATAAAGATCTGTGGAGATACGAAGTCTAAAAAATAGATTATTTTTTAACAATATTTACTTGTCGTTATCATATTTTTATGAGTCGGTTAGAAGAATTAAATTGCAATAGTCTATTTATTTAATTTTAATATTGTTTATTCATAATTGCTTACTTATTCATTGTAATACATAAATAATACTCTATTTTTCCAATGACTAAATTATTTTTAAGTATCAAGATTCTGTCCTTCCCATGCAAAACACTGAAATTATAAGTTCACATTCAATTTATTTGCAGTTTAATTACTAAAAACTAAACAAGTAGGTATCTAATTCTACGACCTAGTAGGTTATAGATTCTTTAATATTTAGATTTTTACCAAATTAAGATAATACCTATCCTAAAGAAGACTATTAAATATTCTATTTACAATTGACATTACATTTGACAAAGTTCGTCACAACTAAAGCAGTATATGTGTAACAAGATTTCAGCGGAAATTTTGGCAATGCTTCGTGCTTATCCCTCACGTTTAATTCTATGTACTATCGCCGAAGAGCATCTAGATCACGATGCGCCGGCGCATTCGTGGGAAATAACCATGAGAACTGTGAAGTAGATGAAAGAATGGTTATTAATGTTATCTAACAGTCAGGTTAATTGATACCGTCTTGCGAGAATCAGGTGTTATTGGTTTCGATTTAGAACATCGTACTCTTATAGCTTGTTGCGCAGATCATAAAAAATACTACGTTAAAAATGTAGAAATTCAAGACAAGAAAAATATAACTTATTGACTGACAGTGTTCTGATAGTTATTACGTAAGGAGATTACGTTTGAGTGATTTTGAATTTGAATGATGTATTTATGAAAATTATGATAGTTTAATCATAATATGGACAGATTTCTAGAAAATACAGTACCTTATAGTTATTATTAAAGATATAGGTACATGAATAAATAGTCATTATATAGTAGTAGTACGTATATTGCTTCCAAATAAAATATCTATGGAAAAATTAGCATTAAAAATCAATTTATTAACAGTAATACATAATTTACATATATCTTACTATTTAATTATATTTACAAGCTATTCTATATATTAAAAATCTTCCGTAGTGGGGGGGCTATGAATTTGACACACTAATAACTGCAAGTATATCAAGTGTTACATTCCCCACAACATCGACACTACAAAATCTATCTGAGTACCCCACCTGAAATTACAGTCGTGAGCATATTTATAAGATTTAACTTATTTTTACAAACTAACAGCCTAATACCTATCCCCCCAACTTTTGTCTCTATAAAAATCTCTAATACTCGTATGATACAATGGACGCCATTAAGCAGCGAACTTTTCGCGCCAACAATTTTGACAGCTACAAAATCTCTGTTTGATCGAACAAAACTTTTATGTACCTCAGACCCCTAGCCGGTAGGGGCCACCGTCACAGATAGTCTCAACTTCCAACATTTATTATTACTATTAAAAATTTAATTTTAAAAAATGTATCGTCTTTAATTTATGTTAGTTACCTACTTAGTTGCATACCCAAGAAAAATGTATTAAAATTTCAGTGTATTTGTTGTAAAATAACAGAGAACCCCTCCCCCCGGATAGCTGAATTTGCCACGGGCTTCGAACGGTATAGTTACGCCTAATAACCACATTAAAAAAGCAATTAAAACTACAATTTAAAAAAATCATTTCTCGAATAAATTTGCTCAAATTACTACTATATTGCTGCGAGTAGGTATTCTGTCTAGATATACATTTTATTCGGTACCTGTACTAATATAAAATTATCTTAATAAAATAAACTAATATATGTTAGTTAACTATTACATAATTTAACTCTATAAATTAGGCGCCGTTCAATGTCGACAATCACTAAAATTTCTAGATAACATTTCGTTTTTAAATACTAATGACATTTAAATGTTGATGTAAACAGTTTCATAACTATACTACAATAATTTATCATTTTAAAAACACATTTGCCACATATGTTGAAACGCTGATGTTAATGATGGCTGATTAGATGTATTAAGATCACTTCCTGACCAAACAGGTTTTGATGTAAAGTAGGTGGATGTTCATATTGATTATTATAATGTATTGTTCTCAATAATCAATCAATAATTTTATTGGTTATTTAATTACGAGTAACGTTTGGTAACTTTTTTTTTACTTTACAGTATTTAGACTTAGTGACATTGTAAAGTAAAGCAGTAAATCCCACCTGCGACCAACTGCATTAAAAATATATCCATTGACAGATTGACATTTCTTTACTCAATTTCTCACTTTATTTCAATTGTTGCATGTCACCAATTAATTGATAAAATAGCCTGTAAATCTGGAGCGGGTAGCTACCATTAGGTATATATTAATATATTATGTTATCTGTGGTAATATAATGTGTAACCACTCCTTTATAAATAAACCGCTTGACCAGTATTGTAAATATAGACTAACAAGCCTCTATTATCTTATGACTCGTTTACGAGACTTTTGTACCAATAATAAGGTATTAACCGGTTTATAATATGAAGGTGATGATGAATTAGTAATTGCATATTCCATACATATATATATAAAATTCCATAAGATAAATTAATGAATGACTGAAATGGTGTGCAGACAGTGTTTAATGTGTTTCTATGCAAGATGTTACAAGTTCATAAATTACAATACATATGTACATAGAATTAAAAGTATTAATATATTTTACTAATCATACAGGCGAAAGTGAATCTGATCATTATTGCTGGTGTAGTAAAGTTATGATTTTATTGTACAATTAAAGTATAGAAATTCGCTAAAATTATATTAAAAATCTGTATTTAATATTACAGGTTTGCTAGTTTCGTGTAACTTTTGTGTAATTGAACCTAAAAATACACACGTATTAGCTACAGTAAGTAGTGCAAATTCACAGTTGGCGAGCCTACATCGGCGACCTTGTCAATATAATTCGAACAGTCCATTGGAATGTATAACAATGACCGTGAATGTGTAGCACTAGGAAGATTTTTTTAACTTTGCAAATAGGTACCTACCTATCTAATTGGTACGCACGTGCTTATTGTCTTAAGTAAATGATTATATACCAGATTGTTTGTTGTCAACGTCATTTAATAAATGACATGACTTTTAGTACCGACTTTAATTAAAAGCAATGATATTATAATGTTTATTTACCGCTTCTTTGAAAATTTCTACCCAGTCTAGTATATTTCTATTTCATACATTTAAAAAAAACATAAATATCCTCAAGTTAAAATTTTTCATTTCACTTGTAGGTTTACTACTTATAGGTTTTTCATTTTACTTATAGTTTCAGTTATAGGTGATTACACACAGTAGAACGGTTTGGTATAATCATGTTTAGATTTTTTTCGTACCCACATTGAATTGAAACGAACATTGATATATTATAAGAAGAATGACCGGATATTATGAATTCTAAATTCTAATCCGTCTACTGAACATATATCTAAACATAAGTACCTATGTATAACTGAAAATCATCTAATGTATTATAAGTTACTCATAAGAGTAATTCCACATTTTGACCTCTAACAGTTTACTCATGTCGTTTACGTTAACATGAACAAAAACACGGTGCACGTTGGCCGTTGGAATTGTACAAATTGACATAACACGTGTTGTTGATATTGTATCCACAGTGCCGCAGGTCACACAGAATGTACATTATATATGGTACTTATAACTTATCGACCGAGCACTTTGCCGTTCCGAAGTATAATAATTAGTATAATTGTTATTGTATTTGTGATAATAATATCTCAGGACAATTCACGCAGCGAAATCTAGTCCAGTTAAGTTACCTAGAGCTTGTGTTATGGATACTAGATCACTGATATGAATACATATTTTTTTTTGTAAATACATACATATTTATTTTACTTTTTTTATCCCAGGAATTGTCCTGGGATAAAAAAA